TATATATATGTATATATGTATATATCAATATATATATATACACACACACACACACACACACACTGTGAAACAGACATTTCTCATGTTTGGTACTTATAAAAGGTGAAGCAGTGTAAACCCTACTGTATATAGTTAAATTTGATGTGTTTAATAAATGTTCATTGTTTGTAGTTTTGCAAGACTTTTTACATGTTTGTTGTCTATTTGCTCTCAAAATTCCACAAATATATTTCTTTATTGAAATGTACGCGTTATGGGAATATTATCTACAAAAGTATCAAAGTAGAACGTGAAAGAGTCAACATTTACAAGGATTATCATGGCTGCAGTAACTTGGTATCTTCTATGGTAAAAATCTGTTAGACCAGGCACATTAGACTATCAATCTTTCAAACGTATCAGCTATAGTTTAACCACACTTTATTTAATTGAGAAAAATGGAGATGTCAATAAAGCTGTTATACTTTACTTATCAATTCAAGGGTTTCTTCGTGTGTGTTGGAATGTATAATTAGTTGAATGCTAGTTTTTTGAGAGCTTCAATAGGGTGTGTTATCATTTTTATGTAATTAACGCTTTTTGAAGTTTGCACTAATAAAGGGGCAAACAGGATCAACAGTATAGTTTGTATTTGAATTTGCTATATTTGATGAACATTTTTACTCATTGTTTTGTAATTGTAGAAGAATTTCTATTAGTTTCTATTTTGCACTCGGATTTTTAGAAATTAGTGTTGAAACTTTTGCAATAGGATCACTTAAGATGAATTAATCTCTGACAGGTTTTTAGTAAAAACAAATACTTCCAGTGATATGTCCTATAGTTTGATAGATATGCCACAGTAGATTAATGTTTTTAAGATTTAGGTTTAAATTACGGTACAATTATTTTTTGCTTTTTTTTTAATTAGGGATCCCAGGGTATCTTGGATGCAATGAAAAGAAACCTCACTTGATTTCTGGTGAACATAAAGGTACCTGTACAAGTACTTAGTGATTATTTTAGAAATTTTAATGTCATAGAAAACATGCTGGGTGTAAGGACTTTCTTAAGTAATAATGATAAGTGTATTTTGTGCCGAAGTGAAATCTATAATCGTTTATACATTTTTATGTTTTCTATATATGGTACTTTTAAAATTATATCTTTCAGATACTTAAATAATCACTGTACGAACTGATTTATTGAATTAATAAACACGAGCCAGCATACAATCTCACGATACCTTTCATCTTACTTTGTTATGATCTTTAATGATATCCATGTACTTTTGTTGCCTTATAGTACAGAATGCAATCAGTTTTTGTGCCGTTAGTGGTGAACTATCTTAATTGGACAATCATAATAGTTTTTTTTAGTAAGTAAAGTTTTTCTAGTTGGAG